GAGTTCAAGACCAGCCTGGGTAACATAGCCAGACCTCGTCTCTACAAAAAATAAAAACATTAGCCAGGTGTGGTGGTGTGTGCATGTAATTCAAGCTATTCAGGAGGCTGAGGCGGGAGGATCGCCTGAACCCAGGAGGTTGAGGTTGAGGTGAGCCATGATTGTGCCACTGCACTCCAGCCTGGGTGACAGAGTGAGACCCCAAGTTAAAATAAAATAGTAAAATGAGAGGAAATGAATGACAGTAGAGCTGGGTGGTGAGTGCACAGTGTTGCCTTGTGCTGTTCTCTCTACTTCTGTGGATACTTAGAGATCTTCACTCCAAAAAAGGCTGAAATGGGCCAAAATTAGAGCAAGAGAACAATCAGCTAGGTTTAAGAAAGATTGACCCACATGTCAGAAACTGAGAGGACTTTAGAAGCTCCTGGGACCAAGAGGTTTATCCCCTGCTGGGACAGGGTTCTAACACAGATCCGTGAGCCCCAGATGCTGCCACCAGCTCTGGAGGGGACTCTGACATTCCTATGTCCAGTCCGGATACCCCACAGACGAGAGTCCAGAAGCCCCAGAAGGGGAGGGCTTTGCCCAGCTCAAGTGTAATTGAACCAAACAAGCCAACACCTAATCTTTCAGTGCTTGGTGGCTCTGATGCCTTGAAAAGTTGTGAGGCAAAGGTTCTCAACTTGAGAGGCTCTGCCCCTCAGGGGAATCTGTCATTCTGGTCATCACGACTGGGGGTGGGGGTGTCACTGGCCCCTCGTGGGTAGGGCCAGTGATGCCGCCATGATCCCACAGCACACAGAAAGGCCTCCACCATGAAGGATCACCGGCCCCAGGTGTCAGTAGGGCTCAAGTGGAGACCCTGTGAATGGGAATGGGAGCACATCTTCCCATCTCCCCTGCACTCTCCAGGGGGCCTCCAGCTGATCTTGCTCCTCTGGGTGACGTCCCAGCTGTGGCCTCGATGGCCCCAAGGAGACCAGGAATCTGGAGTGAGACAGTCTTTCCCTCTTCCTGCTTGCTCTATGCCTGAGAAGACAGAGCTCACTTGGAAAGGGCTGGACAAAGAAACTCTCAAGGAAAAGAGAAAGTTCACGTGAGTTTACTGTGTGGCTTCCTATAAGGGTGCTGTAAGACCAGTTCAAGTGTCACTCACTCATTTGCTTATTTATTTGAGGTGGGGTCTCACTCTGTCACCCAGGCTGGAGGGCAGTAGCACAATCACAGCTCATGGCAGACTTAACCTCCTAGGCTCAGGCGATCCTCCACCTCAGCCTCCCAAGTAGCTGGGACTACAGGTACACACCACCATGCCTGGCTAATTTTTTGATTTTTTGTAGAGACGAGGTCTTGCTATGTTGCCCAGGTTGTTCTCAAACTCCTGGGCTTAAGCAGTCCTCCCATCTTGGCCTCCCAAAGTGCTGGGATTATAGGCGTGAGCCACCACACCCAGCCAAGTGTCATTATTTTAATCAAAAAGGTGCCAAGTCTATCCTCTAGTTTCATCAGGCCTTAGGATACAACACATTCCAGGAGGACATATGGCCTGGTATTAAAAGGTTGGTATTGAAAGTCGACAAGAACATAGGATTCCCCTAACAGAAACCCACTGTGCGGCCACATCTAGCCTGGAGAGCGAGGAGCGCCTGCAAAACCTGACCCAAGATAAACACGTACCTTCCCTGCTCCCAGTGAGGCAACAGCCACTGGAAACGTCTGACTAATGGATTTCATCTGTAATTTCCTTTCATAGCTGAATGCCTCAGCTTTTCTATTTTAACTTTTGCTGCCTGGTACCTCACTTCTCCCCTGTCCTCGCAGATGAATCTCGGAGCACTCTGTGGTTCGCCATGTGTGGGCGGCCACCGGCAGGAGCTTGTGATGTCACTGTTTCCAAGGCTTAATGACATTAGACGCCATTTCAGAACAAGTCATTGGAAGTGGTGGGTCATTTGTCCCAAAAATAGCTGGAGTTTGGGCCTGCTCAACCCTGCCCACCTGCCCGCTGGAGCCCGCAGTGCCGAGTGCCAGGGTCAGAGGTAAGCTCACTCGTCTGCTCACTTCTGCTCATTGACATGTTCCTTCTGCCTTCCTGAGAACCCCAGGCATGGTGACTGGGCTAGTGCACGTGTGTGCACGTGGCACACAAGGATGTGTGTGTTGGGGCACAGAGGTAAACCAACACCCCAAAGCCATGTGGAGGCAGGTGGGAGTGAGCCTAGAATCATTCTCATCACCCTACCCTGAACCACGACCTTGACATTCCAACTTCCAATATGAAGCCCACACCACTCTCTCCCTCTATCGAAAGGAAAAAAATAAGGCCGGGCAAAGTGGTTCACACCTGTCATCCCAGCACTTTGGGAGGCCCAAGGTAAGAGGATCACTTGAACTCTGGAGTTCGAGACCAGCCTGGGCAACATAGTGAGACTTCATTTCTAAAAAAAAAAACAGGAAAACAACATCCCATGTGCAGATGCTATAAATGGAAATGTATTCTTAGAGAGGCAGAACATGAGCGGGGTTTTTCAAAAGTGACCCATCATCGGATAAAAATACAGACGGCATTTAGAGGCTGAGCGGCAGAGCTATTCCGGGGCCTGGAAGCTCATGCCCATGGCTCCCCGCCAGGGGCGGCCTTTCACAGAGATTTGAAAGGAATCCACTGATGGTGGCGGTGTTTCTAAACTGAGGAGGAGGGTATCTGGGGGAAAGACAGCCATGCCAAGACACCTGTGGCGGCGTCCCTTAGGGGGACATCACATGCCCCACAGCCTCTAACCACAGTGGCCCATATTATTTAGTGTCACTGTGTACCGTGAGACCACCTTTTTTTTTTTTTTTTTTT